AAAGTAGTTCTATGTCATAGAAGGATTTTTTAAAAACAAACAACATACATGCATATGTAGGCTTTTCTAACCTTGCATTTCCATAGATTTCATAGATTTCATAGACATCAGGGCTGGAAGGGACCTCGGAAGATCATCGAGTACAGCCCCCTGCCCAAAGGGCAGGAAGTCAGCTGGGGTCATAGGATCCCAGCAAGATAAGCATCCAGTTTATCTTGAAGGTTTTCAATGAAGGCGCTTGAACCACCTCCGGTGGCAGGCTGTTCCAGACCTTGGGGGCTCGGACAGTAAAGAAATTCTTCCTTATGTCCAGCCTGAAACGATCTTGAAGTAGTTTGTGACCATTCGACCTCGTCATCCCTTGGGGTGCTCTGGTGAACAAACGTTCCCCCAGATGCTGGTGGTCACCCCTGATAAACTTGTAGGTGGCCATCAGATCACCCCTGAGCCTGCGCTTTTCCAGGCTAAAGAGCCCCAGGGCTCTCAGCCTGTCATTGTAGGGTCTGTTTCCCTGACCTCTGATCATGCGCGTGGCTCTTCTCTGGACTCTCTCAAGCTTCTCCACATCCTTTTTGAATTGTGGAGCCCAAAACTGGACACAGTACTCCAGCTGCGGCCTCACTAAGGCCGAGTACAGGGGGAGAATGACGTCCTGGGATTTGCTTGAGAAGCATCTATGGATGCAAGCCAGCGTTTTGGTCGCTTTACTAGCCGCCGCATCACACTGCAGGCTCATGTTCATCTTGTGGTCAATGATGACCCCCAAGTCTCTTTCTTGCATAGTGCTAGCCAACATAGCACTGCCGAGCCTATAAGGATGCTGCGGGTTTTTTTTCCCAAGGTGGAGAAGCTACATACTACATGAATTTCACTACATACTAATTTAAATAGGCTTCCTGCTTAAGTTACAGGACAGAAAAAGAACCAGCTCATATTACTTTGGAGTAAGACCACCTTAGTCCAGAACAGAGTTTCCACATGGGACAGTTGATTCTGGTATAGGTCGAGTGGCAAAATTACTGATGTAGTGTTGCCAACAATTTCTTTGTATAAACAAGTCCTAAGGGAACAAAGATATTGTATTGACCTATCCTGATCACAGCTGACAGCATTCTGCTCTTGCCCAGCTCCCCTGTCTATGAAAAGACTTGTTTATACAGCTAATATGGGGTGCCCCCGTTGGACTTCATATAGATGATTATGGGCAGCTTTTGAGCTTTCTCCCAGCCCTGCCTGAGGGGTGTGTCCCCAGAACTTATGCGTCAGGTTGCGCTGCACCCTGAGGGGAGCCCTGACAGTCGCCTGCCACGGGTTGATTCTCTGTGTTCCTGGAGTGGGGTCCCTCCTGGGGTTTCTCACTACTCCTGGTGTCCCTCACCGGGGGTATTCTTGGGGCTCCACCTCCCCTACACCCCAACCAAGTGCCAACCTTCCAGGCCGCTGGATGATGGGTCTTTGGCCTGCTCCTCAGTTCGCCTACTCCCAACGATAATGGGGCATACAATTATCTCCGCCTTCGTTCTCGCCCCTCCTCTGAGGCTCTTGCCCAATCTGGCCTTGATCTTTCTCCGTGGCTCTGGACCCGTAGAGGGTCTTTCCTGGGTCACCCTCTGTGAGCTCTCCAAGATAGGATAGGTCAAGAAAAGGAAAAAAGAAGAAGAATAAAAACATAATGAGATGGTCTGGGTGTAGGCTTCTGCCCACCCCACTCACGGGTCCGCCATCTTAGACCGTCTCTGGTCCCCCAACGTTGTCCCTCTTCCTTGGCTGTCCTGTCGATCAATGTGGTGGGCCCGCCAGCGTGGGGAGAGCCCCTTTTAAGGGATCTCCGTCTCGCCCCTGCCGGGGCCGTCAGCTTCTCTGGGATTTTGACTGGGGAGCACCTTCACCCCTCAGCATCCCAACCGCTTCTGCTGCCATTTCCCTGCCGTCAGCTTTTAAATCCACTGGGCGGTGTTTTTTTATGACGTCATCTGCTGGCGTTGCTGCCAGCCGGCAATAAACACGGCTGATAAACTGCGCCGGTGGCTCTCCTCGGCGCGGCTCGCTCTTCCCTGCGGGAGGTAAGTGTTTCTTCTTTTCAGGGCTCTTTCCCCCTTTCCCCGGGCATGTCGTCCCTTCCTTGGGTCCTGCCATGGGAGGTCGTTCTGGAGCCTCCATTTTTGTTCCCCTGGGACATGGGGTATGGATACACATTAATACAGACTGGTTAAATGCAGTTTAAACTTGAAGCAGACAGATGTACAAGCCTGTTAAACCAGTTTAGAGCTTCCTGGAATGGTCAAAAATCAGTAAAATTCTTCTGAACCAGTTCACTGCGAACTGTGTAGTGACTAAGGTACTTTACATAAAGCACCATGAGTTAGAAGTGACTAAGGAATCTGAGTGCTGACACAGCTGCAGGCCCTTGGCACTTATGTAAAGTGCCATGAATTAGAGCACCCCACCCACTGATCCAACAGACGTTTGCCTGTTGGTGGGGGGGAGGAGGGAATAGAGCCTGCCTGTAGCCAAGAAGCTGCCCCTTTCCCCCAGCTCTGCGGCTGTTTGCAGGAAGGGAGGCGGGGGGTAGGGGAGGAGAAGCAAGCCATGGGCTGGGGTTTGCCCAACCTGAGTTGGATGGTGGAGGGCTGGTGGGGGGCCGTGAGGATGGGGGTTCCAATCCACCCACCCCCTTCAGCTCAGGCCGGGCAAACCCCAGCCCGTAACTTGTTCTCCTCTCCTTCCCCCCTCTTCCTGCAGACAGCCCTGATTGTTCCTTAAGGCAATCCAAAGAGGAGTAATTCATCTGATTCCTCATTTGATGAGGGTTAATTTGTTGCGCAATCAGCCACTTTAAAGCACTCTGCAGCCATGCATGTGTGTCACGGCATGGCTGTAGAGTACTTTCAGGGGGCTGATTGTGCAATAAATGTCATTTCTGTCTGTGCCCTCTATGGCACAGGCCTGGTTTGCCCTCCAGACATCCCCCACTGCATGTCTCCTCATCACCTCCCTGCTCCCTTCCCCCTTTCCCTCTGCCCCGAGTGCTGTAAGTTGTTGCTGTTGCACAGAGCCAGAACTCTGCAGTCTATTTTTTAAATTTTTTGTTGGCACTTTTTATCAATGATTTCCATTGCGCTTTTTGTTCAGTAAAAACTATCTTTCTAACAACCAGCTCTCTACTCTACCACAGCCCCTCATTATATCCCTTTAGCATCTAGAAACCCAAAAAGATGGGTTCAGGCACCCTCCTGCTCCCAGGCAACCCAAATCTAGCAAGCACACTGGAGAGGTAGGTAAAAGTGCAGGGTACTGAACTTACATTTGAGAGAGAAAGGAAAGCAGAAAAGTGAAAACAGCCTCAGCCACAGATCATTCCCCTCCATTTGCCCTTTGTTCACTAATGTTAGGCTGGGTGTTCGCTTATCCCCCTCCCTGGTGTTGGAGCAACAGCATTTCAGTGCCTAAAAGGTACTGTTCTGCCTGAATGGCCAGGGCTCTATACATTTGAACACCTCTGACCTGAAGCAGCTGTGAAGCAGTTTCCAATTACTGACATTTATGAGTGGTTAAATTGCTGTGAACATCCACACCCAGACTGTGGTGCTTTTTACCTAGGGGTAAATAGTACCTGTCAATTCTTCAGGTAAAAAACACAGTGATGAAAGACACTTCAATTTTAGCACAAGCTGACAGAGGTCAGTCATTCCCAGGCAGGGGTATGTAACACTGACTTTTCTAAGATTATCCTTGTGGTAACAGAAAAAGTGCCTTGTCATCACAGTATGTTTTCAGCTCTGTTGTTGGCAGGCATTAGTTATCCAGAGCTTTAAAAAAAAGCATCCTAAAAGGAGTCTATTACTATATCTATATCACTCAGAGATAAGGTGTGACATCTGGTGCTTCAGACTGGGTCTTTTGGCTGGGTCAGTGCATCTGATGAAGTGAGCTTCAGGCCACTAAGGCTTGTGATTACTTCCTGGCATGGTACCTACCTACTTTGGTTAATCTATAAGGTACAAATCTACCCTGCCTTCTACTTGACTTGAAATTAACAAGGCTAACTACATCACTCTGGGTAAAACCATCCAGCAGGAGCTGTTGAAACCAGTGCCTCATTATGGCTGCCACATTAGTTAGGTTGGGCTCACTGGATTTGTAATCCCTGGTTTCATGTCTGCTTCCCCCTGTACTTTCTTCGCTTCCCTGGCTAGTTAAACATATAATTTTAGGTCTGCCCTGTGCTCAAATGCTTTTCTGATATAAATAGTTCAGCTGAAGGGCACTTTCTTCCCCCAAATAGTGATGTTAGTAAAAACCCAAGCACAAACATAGATATACTGATATCAAGATGATTTATGTCAATATAATTATTTAATACAAAAATAGACTTTTCCAGGATGAGCACCTTTATGCTGATAACTGTGCCGTAGAAAGGAGGTTCATAGAACCATAGAAAATCAGGGCTGGAGGGGACCTCAGCAGGTCATTTTGTCCAACCCACTGCTCAAGGCAGGAACATCCCCAACTAGATCTTCCCAGCCAAGGCTTTGTCTAGCCAGGTCTTAAAAACTTCAAAGGTGGAAACTATAAAAGTACAATTAAAGAAGCATAGTTTGTAGGCATATCCTTGGAAATTATGCAACTAAGCTTATTGTGAATGTGCATCAAAATATACACTTGATACAGAGAGTTATGATGATGTCAAACAAGGACACTAAAATATTTCACTCCGAGTAGGAATGCACAATGCATATACCTCCTCCCCTCACAAAAACAACTGAATTAGGATCCCCAGCCAGTACAACAGTTGGTTGTACAGAAAAATATTGTTAGGAAAGCATTTCTTGTTACATGTAATCCAGCAGTGTCCAGAAGCATCAATTCAAATTGTGACTTCATTATGCTAGGCACATTACAAAATTAATAATGGGACTGGCTCAAAGAACTTTCAGTCTGACCCTGCACTAATAAAATCAATTGGTTTTAGCCACAGACTTGATTGGGAGCAAGATCAAGGACTAAATACCATAGGCAAGACAGATGAGGGGTAGAGAGAGAAAAAGATATAGTGTTTAAGTAAAGTGCTCAGAGAGATGGGAGGTTGGAGCTGTGTATTTGTCATTTTTGAAATCCTCCCATGCACAAAGAGCTGTCTTCCACTGCGATTTAGCAGCTGGAAGCAAAGAAGAGAAACAGCATTGTTTGAGACCACAGGTTAAGAAAGGCCATTCTACAGTGTATTGTGGATTTCTCACACATGCTGGTAAGTTATTCCTGTTGTACTTCATTTTTGTTTACTTTAATTTTGTTCTGCTGGAAACTAAAGAAAAATCTTAGTTTCCTTTTTATATGTATCGCATAGGCCAGAATAGACCACTTTATTTATCTACTGTGATGTCCTGTATAACATAGGCTACAGAACTTCCTCGGATTAAATCCTGTTTGAAATAAACAACAAAATTTAGAAAAAAAATGCAATCTGTGATTTAAACATTTTAAGCAATGGGGAATTCAGTTTTTCTTTATTTCCCTGAGATTCTGATATGTGGCACAGTGAGATACTGACTATTGATTATGCTAGTAAATGATTCATGATCAGAAACAAATTTTAATAGTAACACCACAAGTAAATTATAAACTGGGTTATCGATCAAGAAATTAAGGCCTTGCTCCCTGTTTGAAGAGCTGAATTTTCTTATTGCTGTGTTGAAAAGTTTCCTTTGATGTAGTGAATGGTAGAATAGTATGAACAGCTGAAACCTGTCATCACATTCCTTGTAGATTAGTGAATGATAGGCTGATCTAATCTAAAGCAGTATAACTCAAGTACACCTTAACCCTTTGATCTTAGTTTGTACCTCCTGAAGTAGACAATCTGACTGCAGCATCTCTAATTGAATGATCTGATAAACCTTCTTGTAAGACTGTAGATAGTGTTGGCTTTAGAAGGGTTTAGATAACCTCAGAGTCTCTGGTAGAAAATTGCCAGGCAGTTGAACAACGATTAGGATTAAGATGCTTTCTTTGATATGGAAGATGTGTGGTGTAAGTACCTTCAGAGCTCCTCTAAATCAGTGTGCAAAAAGTTCTGTCATAGCAACGGGACTTAATGTCATAGCAATTGTGTCTATGGCAAGACCTGTTTCGGTCTGGAGTAAAGATTTCCAAGACCACACTCCCAAGTGAGGCTGTAAATTTGAGGGCCAAATTCAAAACTTCTGTTCAGCCATCTTATCAGCTGTGTGGGTGCAACTCCTGTTGATGTGAATAAGTGTTATGCATGGAGATGATGGGATAGTCAGCAGGCTGATGTGCATGGGAGTATAAAGGAAAGTGTAATTTGGAACACTTCTCTTTGTAAATAACATCATGGGCTCCATTCTGTTCTCATTTAAGGCAATAGTAGCTCTGTCATTGAATTGAGTGGTAGTAGAAACAAGCTCAGTCTTAAATACGGGTGTTCACAAAAAAGGGTAGGTAATATATTTGACAGAACCTCATAATAATTCAGTGTAGCTTATTTTACCTACAGAGCTGATATCCTTGAGGGCTCAGCCATCACAAATGTCTTTGTTGATATTTCACATCGTCAGGAAATGCTTTTTTTTTTTTAATTTAGAGAAGAGCTCAGAATTATCAAGTGTGAGAGTGTGTGTCTGTTGCCAGCTGAATAAGCCATCTGTGCTATTTGTGCAATAACTGTCATAGGAGGGATAGTGAAATTATTGCTTTTGTTTTGCAACTTCTGTAGAACATTTTGGAATCATAATTTCTTTCATACAGGGGTTGGAGGGATTGTTTCTCTATTATGTGGGTATATAAATCCTGGACCACATCATGTCCTCACCAGGAAAAATCAAATGGCTATTTCCAAGGTTTCGGCATTTACCAGCAGGTGGGGGAAAATCAGTGGCTGGGTAGAAGGGAGATGGGCATAGCCCTTTACTTATTACACACTGAGGTTATATCTGCTTCCATCTTTCTGATTTTTAGTCCATGTGACTGTAAAGTCAACATCCTTTTTCTGCTTCCAAACCCTTGAGCTACAGAGTTCATTCCCAAAGTGCTATCTTTACAGTATACAGTCCCTTTGCTCTGAAGGGATTTCAAGGCTTGAAGCAGGTATTAACTGTTGCACTGAAAATACAGGGGACATTGTTATCGGGAGCACCTTTTCTTGTTTCATTCACCTCCTCCACCAGCTATTCTTTTACAAAAGAATGGCGCTTCAGTCAGGCCAGGTTAGATTCTGATCTGCACAAGAAGACAAGGTCTCTGGAAACAGAAGGAACCACAGATGGCCTTTCACTGGTTTTGAACCACCCAGACTAAATCACACTTTCTTACTTATATTTCACAGAGACTGCTGTCTGTCTGTATCTCCTGGCTATTATAATAGTTGGCTTGCCCCATACTGCTTGGATTTTGCTGCCTTAAGTTTAATGAGGAGGAAGAAATGTGACGTATTTTTCTCAATGCCAAGTAATCCATCCCTGTATCTTATTAGATGTAAATATAAAACATGAAGTTTGGGGGTTTGTTTTATTCATTGCAAAAGTTCTGAACAAATCCTGTGTGCTTTATTGATCAAATGGTTGGGGTTTTTTTGCAAAGTTTCACTGACACACTTTTACCACGAATTTTGTTATGCATGGTATGTGTTTGTAGTATTGCAGTGTAATTTGTGAATAATTTTCACAATTGGAAGCACATTCATTTTGAAAGGCACTGGCTTCTGTTTTGAGAGCATTAGGAATTTTGGGATTTCTTTTTTATAAACAAAGAAGGCTGTAAAGAAAAAAATAGATCCTCACTAAAAATACTGCTATCAATTCTGTTATAACCAACTTCAGTTCAGCACACTTTGAGTAACTGATACTCTTGCAAGTATTGGACCACACCTTGCTAAAATTATGAACCAAAAACATAACTGTTGAGACTTCAGTTTTGTTTTTGTGTTTTAACATATTGGGCCTGATTCCAGTACAGCATATATAAGTGACTATTAGGCCCACTGTCCACAAACAGCTTGTTTGTACAAGATAGGACTTTATGGTTGCTACAAATGCTGCCACCAACACTGGAGACTTGCACATAGGGTGCATTTTAAACCTGTTCAAATCCATGAAGACCAGAAGACTTTTTGGGGAATGGGATAAGTTAACTATTTCACTATGAAAGAGGGATTCTCCCTAAGCCAAAATTAAATACTCCTAGAGAATGCTGTACAATAAAGAATTTTAAGTGAGCACAGTGAACAAAATCTGTTTCTTCGGCTTTAGGAAGAGGTCTGAAGGCTCCATGGAATAAACCTTACCCAAGTAAAGGTAATGATTACTACCCTGTCAGCTTTGTCTGAGTGGAGTCTTCATTACCGGTCCCTTAGTAACTAGCGGGTAAACTGTTTGGTTAATCAAATAACCTTGAATTTTAAAAAAATAATCTTTTGTAAAATATTCTCTTTTAAAAAAAAATGGTTGTCCTGTCCCCCTAACCTATGTGAGTCATGCAGTTGACTTTGGGCACAGTCCTGTTCACATTACCTTAATAGCAAAACCCCTAAATAGCAAAACCCCTATTGTCTTCAGCTAGAGCAGGATTGGACCCTTACATGAAGGATGCAGGACTGGCCCTGAACCTCTGCAACACAAACCATTAAAACATAGGGATCAGCATTCCTAGTTCTCATTGCAGGATCCAGGGCTTAGTTTTCTAAGCCTTAAATTTCCTTGCTGGATTGAGACTTTGCTGGAGAACGTTCTTATTCTTCAGAATAAGAATAACTTACAAAAAGTTGAAGGGCAATCATATTGATAAATATTATGCAACATCTAGATTTGAAAACCAGCTACATTAATTAGGAGGCAAATCTTCTGTCAATTAGCAGTAGCTGCATTAATAAGGGTGATAGTTGTTGTTTTTGCATTATGTTCACACACATTTTGAGGGGGAACGTTTTGCTAGCTGAAATGGTTTCTTTCATCATTCATATACAATCCTTGTTATAAGTATGCCGCTTTAACATAGGAGAAAGGCATTGGGGGTGGTTAAATTTAGAACATTAAATAAAAGATTCAAATTATCCTCTGAAAATGGTGAGAGGTTTTTCTGTGGGCAAAACGCAAGAAAATAATGCTTGGTTTTTATTCATTTTCTTGAGAATGACCTAGACTTTGGGTAAATTAGAAACAGAAAATCAGTCATCCACACTGTTTGCCTGTTGAAACAGATTATCTGTCAAAGGTGTTTTGAGAAATGACCCCTTTTTAATTTGATCTAAGAATGGATGATAATCAGTTACCAGTATTTTTCTGATGCAGCCTGTTGATTTGCAGCCCTGTTTCCCTGAACACAGGAAAAATTAAGCAATAGGCCAGTTGAGGGCCTTTCAGAGCTCTAAGCCTTTTTCAGACAGCATTTACCCCAACTCTTTTTCTCTTAGCTTTTCGTTAAGGTTACGCTACTGGTGCTTTCTTCTGTGTCTCCTCAGCTAGTTTTTTCTTGTTTCCCTCACATGCCCCTTTACTAAAATGTATCCAGAAGAACCTCTCCAGATTTCTGAGTGGCTTCATGTGTGTCTGCTAAAGTTTTTGCAACTCCAGACAATTAAAATTGTGACATAACCCCAAGAACTCCTTTTTAGAAATCATAGCAGTCATAGAAAATTAGGGTTGGAAGAGCCCTCAGGAGGTCATTTAGCTTAACCCCCTGCCCAAAGCAGGACCATCCCCAACTAGAGCATCCCAGCCAAGGCTTTGTCTAGCCGGGTCTTAAAAATCTCCAAGGATGGAGCTTCCACCACCTCTCTGGGTAACCTGTTCCAGTGCTTTAATACCCTCCTAGTGAGAAAATTCTTCCTAATATCTAACCTAAACTTCCCTTGCTGCAACTTGAGACTGTTGCTCCTTGTTCTGTCATTTGCCACCACTGAGAACAGTCTACCACCATCCTTTTTCGAACCCCCCTTCAGGTATTTGAAGGCTGCTATTAAATTCCCTCTCAGTCTCCTCTTCTCTAGACTGAATAAGCCCAGTTCCCTTAGTCTTTCCTCAGAAGTCATGTCCTGCAGCCCCCTCACCATTTTTGTTTCCCTGCACTGGACCCTCTCCAATTTGTCCACATCTTTTCTGTAGCAGGGGGCCCAAAACAGAACACAGTACTCCAGATATGGCCTCACCAGTGCTGAATAGAGGGAAATAATCACTTCTCTTGACCTACTGGCAACACTCCTACCGATGCAGCCCAGTATGCCATTAGCCTTCT